TCACGAGGAAGACTCGCAGGAATTCAATGATCTATCCTACCTGTGTAGTATCCGGTTTTCTTTGGCACAAGCCCTTGAGCGTTTAGCAGATCTAGACCAATTATCTTTGGTAAGAATTCGGAGAAGACGATGTGCTGGAGCTCAGCGACGAGTATCCTGCGGGCTTCCTAAAAATATCGTGTAGTAAAACAATAATTTTACTAATTCCATAATGATTGTCATTCTTACCTGATACAGGATTTCGTCAGTCCAGTGAGGATTTAGTATTCCTAGAGCTGTGGCGATACGGTTGTGCTCACGCATCCATAGGGTGTGCATCACTGTCAAACCTGGTTGATGGGAGTTTCTAAAAGATTTCAGATTAACATGAACATAACGTGAACCTTTATTCTGTCTTAAATTGATTTCAGAAATTTCTTTTGCCTTACCTTTCGTCCCCGGCAACGAAACATGGCATCCTTGGGGAGGATCGGCAGTCTTTTTCCTGATTACCCTGTGGCAACATCATCTGACCATGGCCTGGAACCTCCTTGAATCACAGTGCGTTTTTGGAGGAAATTAAGTTCAACCAACCGAAATCCGTGAAGTTCAAAAGGCCTTTTGTTGTTAGACGAAGCTGCCTGGACTCGCACTCGGTTGAACCATATATGACCGAGCCGTCGATGTAGGCTGTCAGCTAAATTATTTACCTTCTTCCACGCATTCAGTTTTTCTTTTGCCGTGTTATGTTGTCAGTTATAAGTGGAAAAATGCTCATCAATCAAAGGATACGTTGCCGAGACAGTTGGATATGTAATATGTTAATTCCTACCTGGTTTAACTGGCCTCTGTACCCCAGGTTTAGTTGTCCCAAAAGTGACCTAGCAAAGCCCAGACAGCGTGGTTCGCCATTTGGATAAGTCGCAGGGAAGAATGGGTCGTTTGGCTCGATTCGAATTGGCATGCAGTGTACGGAGATGGTTTGCGGTGAATCGCATCTGGAATAATGAGGTTAATCTTGTCTTGCTGTGGTGACATTCACAGGTTCTAAACAATGTACCTGGTACAGTTGAGAATTTCATCATTAGGACCTCGAGCTGTAGGTGAGTGCGTAAGTTCGTGATCCAGTAACTGTCCGAATTGCATTACCATATGGGTGAATTTCACATGCGAAATGTCCCGATCTTCACAAACAGCATTTGATATCTAAGTTTCAAAGGAAAACTAGGAAGCATATGCATGAAGAACTTTTTTTTGCATACTCTGCGAGGATTTGGTAGTGGTCTGCCGCTCTTTGCGCGACTTCGAGGAGCATCGAATCCATCGTCGTAGACAGGTGGCATCAGATGTCGCAAAGGTGTGAAAGCATTCGCGTAACCGGGGTATTTTAGGTTATTGCACCAACCGGTGTGTGTTCGATATCTGCAGTAACAGAATTGGATTGATAAGGGGCCTTGAGTAACTACTAATTACCTGGTTGTGTGATCACATGGCAACATCTTTGGCAGACAATCTTCGTTCGTAGACTGTCCATCTTCGGAAAGAAAGGCAGTAAAGTTATTGACAAATGTTGACACATCTATATCTGGCAGTATTCGTTGCAGGACGTCAATCTCAAGAGGTGGTAGTCGTTCATCTTCCGAGAGGGTTTCCCTAAAAGCAGAGAGCTTCAATCGTACGTAGGCATTTCTTATCTTTAGTCATCTTAAAGCTGACGTACTGCATATATCCTAGTTAGCAAAATAAATTTTGCTGTTTAATTCGGCGTTTGCTTTCTCTTTTAAATATAGGAGTTTGACTTTGAAGCTCACCCTTTAACTAGCAACTTTGTGGTCTCCAGTAAAATAGCGGAAACCTGAGATATCTGCTTTGCCTGTACCTTAGCACGCATCATATTCGCATAAGCGTAGAGTGGATCGCCTTTCACGAATGTGTGCTGATCTGTAATCAGGAGATAAATGGCAGAAGTGGACGGGTCGTGTTGCTCACTTTTCTTCAGATTTGATATTTCGCGTTTCTTCTGGTCCTTTAGGTTGTGAATGGCAAGATTGACCACCTGTGATTGTTAATGATATGGTCATTAGGACGAAGAGGGAATTTCACTCACTTTTTCCAAAGTATCAGGTGAAACTGGGAACGTAGGTTTATCTTCAAGATCTTTCCATTCGGAGAATGATGGTGCAGTCAAGATCGATGATTGACATTCGATCGCCATGTTCCTAGAGAAAACTGTTAATATGCTGAGTTCCTAGGTTAGAGTTTCTGACTTACTCGAACACATTTTCCCGCATGAATGGATTACTTTGGATCTTCTTGATGTCCGTATTTGAACAAATGATTTCGGCTAAACTCGTCTGTCTTAGTTCCATAAGCTGCTTCTCGCTGAAACCTGATTGAGCGAAGTAGTTTTCATACCAGAATCGATCACCTCGTCGAGTCTGCAACAATGTGTAAGCTTCAGTAAGAATGAAATTTTCTTTGAATTTTATCTCAAAAAGCGGTTACATAAGAAAAGAAATACCTACTCTTTGGAATTGTTTCCCAACGATACATGAGAAAGTCGGCCCAAAAAGTGAACCCTTTATCGGCTGTTCAGCCAGTACTCCGATCAAAAGGTCGATGTCGTCAACATTCTCATAGATAGTGTTAACGTATTCGAATTTCAGGTCTTGAATAAAATACTCCTTCAATTCGTGGAAAGATCGCACCTACAACATTTTTTTCTTCTTTAAATTAAATTTTAAATGAGCTTTTAAGTAAGCGTATAATCTTTTTACTGCTAGTATCTCTTGTAAAACGACGATACCTTTCCTAGACCACACTGTGCTCGTACAACGGTGTAAGATGGTATGCCATGATCACGTCCTTGCTTCAATGCTATAGATATGAGATCAAGGCCAATGCCAAATTGATCCTTGAGGAATTCACTCTTGACTTCGTCATTCACTCTCAGCGAAGGCTTTGCTATTGTTGTCGTGATAAGATGTCTAAAGGATATCATGTAAGTGGGAATGAATCTCACACAACAAATTTTACTTCAATATGCTTTCAACTCCGCGGCTTTCGTATAGCTTGCTGGGATTGTTGAATGTGGAGAAGAGTTTATCCTGTGGCATTATCGCCCAAAGAACATAAGGGAATGTAACGGCAAATTCATTTAATACAGCACCATCAATAGACATATCGTAGTCAGAATCGAAGCCGGATTTGTGCAAGTTTAACCCGTATTTTCTGAAAAAAATATTAATTTCAGCGAGGACAAAATTTTTGGTGTCTTAGTTATTGACCGCATATTCTCCGTTCCTAGCATGATTGGCAGGAACTCGTTGTAGGTAATATGCTGCAGCTGTGCAATGACAATACGTCGAGCTTCGTCGAAAAGTTTTGCGTCGGCCCAGTGGCGATTTGTCTCCTGGATTTTTCTTTTTTTGAGATTATTATTTGAGCAAATTTTCGGAATTAAAGGAAGAATTAGAAATTCGTAAAAATGTTCAAAACATTGTGTAAATATTTCAACTCACTCTTAAAAGTTTTGCAACTCGGTTGTGTTGCTTGAGGAAGATAGCGTGCAGAGCGCTGACACCAGGGAGAATATTGACATCATCGGAGCCAGAAAGAAGACATCTACGAATATCACTTATTAGAAAGTTTTCATGGA